CAGCTTGCAGCTGTGGGCAGGCCAAGGCAAGTTAAATACTGCTCTCTGTGTGACATTTGCCTGTTTGAAGTGTAGAAATCTATCACCTGAGGCATCAGCTGATGGGACTGGCATTGAGATAAGCTCTTTTATGAGGCCATCAGCTTGCACCTGTTTGAATTGACAGCATTCATGATTTAATTTAAGCTGTAAAGTGCTGTGCTGTACCTCAAATGCTATAAATAGAATGTGTCACAATGTTAAAAAATAATACTAAAAGTCAAAAAATCAATAAAATGCAACTTTTTAGAAAGGGAGTGATTACATACGTTGAAAAAGTACTGTATTTTGTCAACCTCTTCTTTCCATTTACTATTTGTTCCCCCTGATAAATAAATGACAAACAGTATGAAAATTATACTCTCTGCCAGATGACATCCATTTTTCATCTCTAGCCCTAAACAACTCCTCCTCCTCTAAAGTGTTTGTCCGCTATCCCTCCATCTCATCCCTCTTCTTCTCTTTACCCCCCCCCACACACACACACACACACTTTTTCTCTCACACTTTTTTTTTAGCTCCAGCAAAAATTAATCACCTGTCTTCCTGTCTTTGTGCGTATGCGTATGTGTGTGTTGCCGGCAGGAAGCCCACAGAGGTTTTTAGCAGCTGATTTATTGCCGAGTTAATTCATAACGGCGTCCGATGATGATGAGAGGCTGCAGGAAAGTATGGTCGTCACTGTTGTTGTTGAAGGGTGAGAGAGAGGGGGAAAGGGAGAGAATAAACAGAGTCATTCTTTGATATAAAGTAATAGGGTGGAAAGTGATAGAGGAAAAGTAATGAAAAGAAAGTTATGGAATAAACAGAGAGACAGATTGCAAGGTGCTTGAAAGTGTAGTTTTAATATGAAGAAAAGTAGAGAAAGAGGGAGGAAATGGGATTAGAAAAGAGGGTGATCTTTGTTGGTGTAGTTTCCTTCTTTCGTTCACTGAAGAAGACGTGACAGTTTAATGTGAAAGTGTTTAGATTTCCCTCCCCAGAAGAATGTGCAAATGCTAATTAGTGTGGAATCTTAGTTTATTTCCATTTACCATATCAAAAGGCGAACACCACTGAACCTACAAACTAGACCTACAACCATTAAGATCGACAAAATGTCTGCTGTGGTGCTACAAAAAAGTAAGCTACTGTTTCAGTCGCTATACCAGACAGTCACCATATTAGAACAGCTGTCTTTGGCACAGGCCAGAATCTGTTTGAACTGGAGAGAGGGGCCAGAGACTATCTTCTGTAAAAGTCTAACTTTGGAGTAAGGGCACTGCGCTACAGTAGTGTGGCGGAGGTGTGGTCCCTGGCGTAGCCTAGGGGTGGAGCGGTGAGCTCAGGGGGGTGGTACCGGGAGGCAGGTGAGCCATAGGTCGTGGCGATTGTGCCATGAGTGTTTTCCTTCTGTGTGTCTATATAGTGACGGCAGAGTTGAGGGGGAGGCGGGCTGGACTGGGACGAGCTGTCACGGCGCATTGTTATTATAAATAAAAACATGATCAAGAGCATAAACGGTGTGTGTGTGTGTGTGTGTGTGTGTGTGTGTGTGTGTGTGTGTGTGTCACATACATCACAAGTAGCTTACCTGATATGGAAATAGGAATCAAAAGAAAATAAGAAATCAACAAGTCATAAAGTTAAGAGGTAAGAGCTAAGAGACTTTAAAATGGGTAATATATAACTGACAGACAGCCCCCAAGAAGTGACTTTAAACTGGTTATTATGAACAGTTGTTTTATTGTGAAGTGACTTCTAAAAGATAACCCCTCTGGTGGCTGTAGTAATTATAATAATGTAGGGAGGAGACTGGGGTCTACAAAAAAGGGAATTTTAACACAGGACACCAATTTTGCATTTTTTTCTTTCACTCATGGCTTTAATCAGAGAGCACAGAGTGTGCTGTAATTTCTTTTTGGTTACTCTGAGCTCACTGCTGCATGATTTCACACAGTCATGTAGCAAAGGAAGCAACCTAAGGGGTGTAACAAGCAAGAATAATGATAGTAATTGATAATATTCTTTTGTGATGGTCATGAATTTGTAAGCTTCTGTGCAACATTACTCTTGTATTGGTGAAGAGGTGTAAAGAGGTTTTTTGTGTCCTGTCTCCCTTCCCTCACCCCTAGGTAGATGGCTGGGCGATATGATCCCAAATTCATATCTCAATGTTTTTTTAGCTGGATGGCGATATAAGATATATATCTCGATATTTTTTTAAAGCCAAAAGGTAAGAACAAAAGGAGAGTTCTTAGTCAAAGCTGTGTCCCAGATGTCACACAGGCACTTTTATTAACATACAACGTAGATGTACATGAAGAAATTACTCAAAAATAAATTATCAGCATTTATTTAATAATAATGCTCCATAAATAAAAGAAAACAATGTTGTTTTTGTGCATAACAAAAAGCTCACAACTGTGCACTCAAAATGTAAACTAACAGACGCTGAGGATAATAACAAAGACAGATTTCACAGCTGCTCTGTTCCCAAAAGTTCTACTGCGTGACCGACAGCCTGGAGTTTGAAATCCTCTTTGTAACCACGTCTCTTACAGGTGCCATTTGTGGTCCATATACACACAATACGGTAATATTACGTTGAAGCACAGTACGTATCACTCCGCGAGGCTCCAGACCACGGTAGCCGTAATGCTCCGACAATCCATCAAGCGGTGCAGCTGCAAAGTCATACTAAAACATTTTTTGACAGATTGCTAAGCGCTGTGTACCACATAAAATCAGTTCGCGGTCAGTAAGCACAACCAGAATTCATACATAAGGCGCACTGTCGATTTTTGAGAAAATGAAAGGATTTTAGGCCATGCAGCTCACAGGGGCTGTATGTCATTAGCGCGCTTAGCTCGCTAACACGTTGACGCCGTCCGTTGCCGTATCCATCGTGTCGTTGCCTGCAGGTGAAGCGATGGGGGAGGGGGAGTTGTGTTCAGTGAAGGAGAGAGGCGAGGCCGAGTAACGTTGCATAGAGACAAAAGTGGACGAAAGAGAGGCAAACTTGCGGCTCCACAAGTATAATTATAACGTAATATATATTATATCGATATAAACGATATTGTCACATCTTATATCTCGTATAAAAATATATTGATATTTTAAAAAACTCGATATATCGCCCAGTCCTACTTCCTACCCCTGAACCTGGTTCTCCTGGAGGTTTCTTCCTGTTAAAAGGGAGTTTTTCCTTCTCACTGTCACCAAGTGCTTGCTCATGCAGGGTTGTCAGATTGTTGGGGTTGTCTCTATGATTATATAGTGTTTACCTTACAGTATAAAGTGTCTTGAGGTGACTGTTGTTGTGATTTTGTGCAATAGAAATATAATATAAGTGACTTGAAATTAAAATGTGTCATCCTTTTCTTCAAGATAAAAAAAAAAAGGTTTAAAGCAGTGTTGGTGAAACTGGCCGTGGCGGACACGTGTTGTGTGTGTCTTCGAGTGCTCCTGTATCTGTAAAAGCATTATTTGAAGACCATTTTAAAACCACACCATATTTGTTACCATACTGTATCTATGGGCATAATTTATCATTTTTCTCTTATGAATGTTTATTAAGCTTTTTATTCCAGTAACACATGATTACCAGTGTTGGGCAACTATAATGAATTATAGTTACTAGTTACTTATTCAAAAAAGTAACTGAGTTAGTAACTGAGTTACAATATTCTAAAAGTAATTAATTACTCGAAACGTAACTTTTGCGTTACTTTAAAAAAATGTTTAACCCTCTGGGGTCCAGCGTGTAATTGGCCATTTTTAACTACTTTTGATGTTTCCTCTACATTTCACCTTTAAAAACTATTTACTTTGCCTTGTTTGGTATCATCCTTTTCAGCACAACCTCACGTGTCTGAATTTACAGTCATGTTTTCATTTTGACATACTGTATTAACACAACTGATCTAAAATCCGACAAAAAACATAAAATCAGAGTAGAAAAAGTTATATTTTTACTGTAACAACCACTAAACATGTTTAATGAATCATATTTCATAACTTTAAATGCAAATATAAATGGTCAATTTTAAAATCATATGCACAAGTTTTGCAAACAACAAAGTTATTTGTATCCATTTACCTTTTACCTTGATTTTTTAAATAACCATTTCAAACTATTCACAGAACAATCAGCTGTTCTTTATTCAATAAGATGCCACACAAATTATTTGTGCCACTCCAAAAAAATAATTTCTGTCCACTATAAAGGAGAACATCACAGCCTGATACCTGCAGGAGTGACAGCAGCAGGTGTATCACTCCTGTTTCTACCTGGAGACAGCAGTCGCCTCATTGTTCTGACACACAACACTAAACTATCCACAACACTACACACTAACTACACAAGACAACACATTAGCTACACACTCCAAACACGCTAAACGTCACAAACGTCACTCCTAACACTTCCCCTGTTTTTTTTTTTGTTTGTTTGGGGTTTTTTGCTCATAAGCAGAGAGTGCTCGCTGCGCTGTCCTTAGACAGTAAACATGACGAAACTATTGAGGAAAAAACGGCGCGTATATATTGTTTATCATGACTCTGGTTTTACGTGGCCTATCAACACAATTTAAAAACTGGTATATATCACCTTGTTGCTTTGTCTTTAAGTGGTCATGTGATTGGCTTACCATGACTACTTTATTCTTCCTCAGTCAAACAGCAGCACTCATGCGATTGTTTTGCCCCCTTAGCTCCAGGTGTTGTGCTAGACAGTGTTGGTGATTGCCGTCTGCGGGAGCGCGCGCCGCTGCTTAAAGCTGTAGCGTTCAGATTACTTACAGCTACTTCCGTGCAACTGATATAAGATGCGGTGAGCTGAACACAGCTTCAACCGTCTGTTTGTTGAAAAATAGTAACGGACAGCATTTTCTTGTTGGTAACTGTAACGGCGTTGTAACGATAGGAATAGTAATTAGTTAGATTACTCGTTACTGAAAAAAGTAACGCCGTTACTTGTAATGCCGTTATTCCCATCACCGATGATTACTGAAAATCACGTTCTGCACAACCCTGTCATGTGATCAGATTTCTTTTAACTTTTTTTTTTTTTACTCCTTACAGGCTGCAGGCTCTGAGGAAGGAGAAGTCACGGGACGCGGCAAGGTCGCGTCGGGGAAAAGAGAACTTTGAGTTTTATGAACTGGCCAAGATGCTGCCACTGCCAGGTGCCATCACCAGCCAGCTGGACAAGGCCTCCATCATCCGGCTCACCATCAGCTATCTGAAAATGAGGGATTTCGCCAACCAGGGAGACCCACCGTGGAACCTGCGAATTGAGGGACCTCCGCCCAACACCTCGGTCAAAGGTAGAATACACATTGGAAACATGTGTGGTTCTGTGTATTTAAAGAAAAAAAAAGAAATCATTAAGAACCAAGAAAAGTGTTGTTTGAAAATGTTCTTTGTAGTGTAGTTGGTTCGTGTCCTAGCACAAGTATAATTATTTTTCTTTTGCTTGTTGATTATTTGAATCATGGTATCTTATAAGCCACACCTGCAGAGACTTAGCCAACATCTCAGACCACTGAGCTGCTGCTAACTGACACACTGATTATTTGTTTCTGATGCATCAAAGCCTGAGAAGAACTTTTCAGTTGAACACTTGGTCACATCAAATCATAATTAAGCTCAGACATACAAATATATGCAAGGCAATAAAATTACAGGTTACCACTACATCCATAGTCAGCCTCACGAGTAAAAAAGTATTTACCCTCTGGGCAGCTGGTTCCTACTAATGGAAAACATTACTAATTGATTCCTCTCTCTCCATACCTAAACAACAGATTAGACTGCATTTTGTAAAAGGTCAACCTTAGCACACGTATGCTGCATTGCAGCCATAGGTTACATATTAACAAAAAGGGATGTGGTTCCTGTGTCTGAAAAGTTAAATCTATGCTAAAGTCTACTAAACTGGATAAGGATTTTTCTCTCTCACTGTGAATAAGCCTGTGGTTCCGTTTTTTCACCATTCATGCATACTGGAATAGGTTTGATTATGCTTTTTTTCTTTCTTCCAACTTTGTTTTTCACAGATGAAGAAAAATTGGTTGCGTTCTTAAGAACTGTTGACTGCAAATGACTAGTGTAGCTTTAGCAACTCACAACTTCAGATTTTCTGTCGAAATGGACGTTTAATATGTGATTATAGCTGATTTAGTGAACAGAAAAGGGTTTGAAACTGGCTTGATTCACCGTGTTGTACCGAAACAGTTGTCTGGCAAGAAAATCAGAACCTGTGTGAGAACAGATGTAACTTGAGTTCAGTTAGCTGCAAATGATGCATAAGCTAAATACAAAGTGGTGACATTGTTTATTGGAAATAAAATTAATCCTCAGGAGAATGCAAGTCCAGATTGCACTGGCTTGACATAATCTAGAGGTGGTTTGCCACTTCATTAGGGAATGCTGGGACCCTGTTGTAATTAAATGTGCTATATAAATAAATAAACTATAAATATAAATATAACTGTGTTATACTGTCCTAAAAACCACCATAGAGTGGTAGAATGGTACAGCCCAACTCTGGACAGAATAAATCCTTGTTTCATTCTAGACATTTGACCCACTGTGTCGGCAAAACCGAAACACTGCCTACTTAGCTGACTGAAGCAGCGCCTGTGTAAAATGTAAATATTGCGGATGAGATGAGAGTAGACCTGATTGCTGGATGTGAAAGACGCTAAGTTTAACTTTGTGTGTTAAAGAACTGTTTGATATAAACTTCTTTTTTCTTTTTACTTCATTTGTTATGATTTTGGCACTGACTGCGGCAAAAGTGCTTTTCTTACCCCTGTGTATTATATCTAATGGTCAGCAGGGAAGGTCCAGTTGTATAGTCAGCTCTCTTGACCCGTGCTTTCACTAAACACTTTCCTGATGTGTTTATTGCCTCAGTTGATGGTTTAAAGTTATACTGGATGCAAAACGATGATTATTTTGTACATTTAGGTTCTTCATTAAAGTCAAAAGGGAGGATAAAGCACAGTATACCTTTGGGAGGGCCTAGCTTGTATTTAAAAAATGCTCACTTCAAAACATCAAATATATAACTTTGTAAACTGGTGGGTGACTTCATGGTTATTACATCCATTTTTTTCAGTTTACAGTCAATAATTCCAGCTTTAAATGATTTAAACCAGGAGTGTCCAACTCCAGGCCTCAAGGGCCGCTGTCCTGCAGTTTTTAGATATCACCCTGGGTCAACACATCTGAATCAAATGATTAGTTCATTATCAGGCCTCTGGAGAACTAATTTAGCCGTTTAAGTCTGTGTTAGCTGTGTTGGATCAAAAACCTGCAGGACACTGGCCCTTGAGACCTGGAGTTGGAAACCCCTGAATTAAGCACTCATAGATGAGTTTCAACTTTTTATGGATTCCATCAAAAAATATTGCAGTTTTGTTAAAACTTTTAAATTAAAAGTGAGAAAAATTCTTTCTGAATAGATAAAGTTACAAACACCTAGCTTTATCAGAGATACCTTTGATAAAGGCATCTTTTAAATTTCTCTGACAATCCCAGTGAAGTTATTCACAAATTACTTTTTTGGTAATGAAAACTTGCATTAAGTTTCTTCTCATATGGAGAAAAAATATATAAAGCTTTCAATATTGTTTCACCAGTTTCTTCCTCTTCTTTTTTCCCCTGTGCTAATTTCAGCACAAAGCCTTTTTAAGTTTTTTTCTTGTCTTTCTGATCCTCACTACATTTTTTATTATCGTTGGACATTGTATGTCATTTAAAGATAAAACATAATTTTGAAGTTTTTGCATAATAACAGTTTTTTTTGATTGATTGATTTTTGACCCAGATTACCTCTTTTCACCCAAAAAGCTGCCAGTTCAAGCGGAGCCATAGCAACAGCTTTACTGCCCAATTTAGTTTCCACAAAAGCTCATCTTTGTGTCTTCAAACGAACATTTTTATTCAAATGAAAGTGAACACGCAAACATAGGCGTATCAGGCTTACAGCTAGCAGCATTGCAGCGACTGTGTGGCTCTTTAAACTGCTATCAAACAACTTGCAAAAGCTGCAGAAACGCACCACGGTCTCTCTCTCTCTGTCACACACACACTCACTCACACACGGCTAGCTTCAGCGCTAAGTGATTTTTCTGTGAAGGGAACATTAAGCTTTGATGAATTTCTGCCTGGAGTACCAGAGTGTACACAGCACTTGTGAATCTAAGTGGAATTTGCCTTTGAAATGGCCCCTTTGTGCGACGCACTTAAAGGAGAAGAGGAGCGTTTGCTTTTAAAGGGGACATTTGGGCTTGTAGGAATGACCCAAAGATGAAAGCAAATTGTCTGAAATTTCTAGGGGCGACAGTGCGTTTCACTGTTTGTGTGTGCTGTAAGAACTACAGTACAACCATATTTACCTGAGAACAAGAGTACACGCAGGGCGAGACTGTAGTTGAGTGTGAGTGAATAAAGGTAAGGTGTATGTATGGGTGTTTCTACACATGAGCACGTCTAATGTGTGTGCTCACACATGCCCTCTCCGCACAACAGCAGATGGCATCATTGTCGGCAGCGCTTTGAAGAGGCGCATGCATTTTAATGAACAGAACCAAAACGTATACACCAGATAAATGTGTGCATGTGTGTGAGTGTGTGCTGGGTTGTTTTGGAGCTCTCAGGGCTGTGTGTTGTATACTTCCTGTAACACAGCCCTGCAAAAGACAGCATCATACTAAATCACATTTAACACGTGTGTGGAGGTACAAATATTATATGAACAACCCTTAATCCTCCGTTTGACTTCTTGTTATTTATTCATTTATTTTCAGAACCTTAACTTTGTGATTGCCTCTGTGTGATACTTTCAGGAAACCCTGTCCAAAATAGATTTCTAGACTGTTTTTGTTCATTTATATTAATTCTGACTGGCCACACTGGCCGTTATAAGGGACACAATTATCCAACCAACTGAGAAAACTGCTCACAGTCTCATTATTACATAGATAAAATCAAACCTGACAATGTGGATGTCCTAGAAATAAAAAATCAACAAATCCTCAGTGTGAAGGTCAAATACACAAAACAGACTTTGCTTAAATAGAAGTGCAAAGTGAGGTTTTTATGTCCATACGCACACACAGCAATTCAATCAGACTGTCCCTCTTGTGCACACAACATATACAGTACATGATATGCTTCTCTCTCTGCAAGGTTGTATGTGTGTGTTTACGTTGTCTTTACTCTCTCTCCTATTGACTGACACTAATGAATGAATATCCTTCTCTAGAAGACTGTGTGCGAGTGTGTATGTGCATCCATGCCTATGTGACTTTTTACTTTGTAATTGTTTTGTGTGTTGCAGCCTATGTGTGTGCGTGCGTGTCTGTGTATTTGTGTGTTTCGCAGTGTTTGGAACAGCAGAGAATTATTGATTTTGGCCTCTGTGTAGCTGCTCTGCATTGGTTCAGGTAATGAAGATCGTTCTGTGTATGTGTGAGTCTGTGTGTGTGTGTGTGTAGTATTCCTACTTATGACTCCATACTCTTTCTGTTTTTCCATCTGACAATATCCTCATTTGTTGTTTTTCCCTCCTTGGTTTTAGTTTTTCTCTGTCTTCCTCTCTCTTTTTCCTCTAGTTTCTTTCACTTTAGCACTTTTTCTTTTCTCTTCCCCCTCCCCATCCTGTACACATCTCTGTTTCTTCCTTTTTAATATTTCTTTTCAAAAGGAAGAAGGAAAATTAGATATGATTTCTGACCACATGATTTTGATCTGTGTGCTTGCATTATGCATTCATTTTTTATCCTTTCTCCTCTCATTTCCATTTCCTTTCCCCAACTTATATTTCTCCTCTTTTCAGTTAAATTCAGTTTTTCTTCTAACTTCTTTTCCATTTGTCGTGTTTGTTGTCTTTCTTGTTTTGTTCATTCTCACCTCATGTTGTGTCCTTCCCTTTCTTCTCCTCTACTTCCTATCCTTTACTCTTTTCCCCTCACACCACCTTCCTGTTTCCTTACCTTTTCCTCTTCATCTTTTCCTTTATTTTGGTTCATGCACTATATTAAATCCTCTTTCGCTTTCTCCTCCTCAGTTGATTCTCCTTTCCCACTCCTAACGCTTCACTTTCTTAACCTCCGTTTGACTTTTTTCTATTTCCTTCTCCCCATTCTCCATTTCCTCCATCCTCTCATCCACTTCCTGTAATCACCTTTCTTTCACTCCTTCCTTATCCTCCTCCACCCTTGCACTTCATGCCCCTGTACACCTTCCCCTCCTCCCCCATTGACCTTTGCAGTAATTGACCCATCAGTTGCTCTTCTACAGTTTAGTGTGGGAG